CCATACCTTGGCAACGCATGGTGGGGGTAGGCCCTACCGCGGCAACGCATGGTGGGGGTAGGCCATACCTTGGCAAAGCATGGTGGGGGTATGCCTTACCTTGGCAACGCATGGTGGGGGTAGGCCTTACCTTGGCAACGCATAGGCCGGTGTCACTAGTATCAAAGACAGTCTGATGGTTGGGAGCAGGAGAACTCAACCACATCCTCTCCTGTCTGTCTTCTTTTATCATAACAGGTTTAGTTCTTTAGATGCAACTGGTGATCTTTAGGTGTCCATTCTACATATAATCGGGGCGTGTGGCTTCTGATTGAACTTCCATTTGGACATTGCATGAGTGACTGGCTGCGAGTGATCTAGAAAGGAGTATAGCCAAGACTTGGAGACAAGGTGGAAGTGAGTGATAGGGGCAGGGATAGGAGCCGAGATCCAGGCAGACAGGAGAACATTGAAGATTAACAAGGAGCAGGTGAAAAAGCAGTGAGGGGGCAAAGTCAGACAAGAAAGCACAGAGCTTGGACTTTGACTTGGAAAAAATGCTCAAGTCCTAAGCATTATTCTGCTCAAAGTGCCACTGAAACTTAATTTATGGGAGATACTTTTGGTGGGAACCGGGAGCTTGTCTGCCTTGTGCTGTTCTCCTGCAGCGGCCGAAAGGAGAAGAGGATAGGACTGACCACTTATCACTAGGCAGGCTTCACACCCGGAGCCAGAAGTGGGTTTAGAGGGCAGGTCCTGATATGTGACCAGGAATCAGGCTTTTCATATTTTATAGAAACTTTTAAAGTTATCTGGCTGTCTAAGCTCTGTGGAGTCGCCCCCTTATAAGGGAAACTGAGTTTGTCTGAATTTGCTAATCATTCCCCACTTTATAGAGTACAATGCTCATCATCATGGATGGTTTTTAATAAATTCTGGCAAAAACTTTACATTTAGACTGAATATAAATTATTGGTGACAGTTATTTCATTGGTGAGTAGTCAATACAGTGTAAAACTGCAACAACCGCAGATCACTGTGTTTGATCCCGTATTTCTGCAGATTGCAGTGATCTGTTTGTTTCTCTTTTCTTTAGTTTTTGGCAGTTGTAAACCAGTTTGTACAACAGCTCTTTCCCATTTTAGATGCGTTTTCACAGCATCCAAGCTGAACGCTAACGCAACGCTGCCACTCAGTGGGTGTGAGCGCAGTGACTGTGACATCATGCACATTCCCACTATTGTGATACCTACCAACCCACCATCTATACAGCTACGTCACTCAATTCACAGACACACGTCTGAGCTCAGCGGGATGAAGCCTTGCAGGAATGGGAATCTGAGGAGAATAATAAAACGTGAAATGGCTTCTGTATCTGCAGGACTGGTCTGCTGTCCTGAAAGAGCTTTCCTGGTTGGCTTCAACCCTGAATAGTTAATGTAATTTTCTGCATTAATCCTGAGCTTACAGCACTGCATTTCATAACCTAGCAGCCATTTCATTTCATAATGAACACTCCTGCTGTACAGTCTGTCCCCAGGTTACAAATGTTGAATTTGAATTTGTAGGTTAGTGGGAAGAATAGTAATGCAGCACATAATAGTAATAATTATTATTATATAGTAAGAATAAGTGTAACTACATACAGTACTGTATCTCAAGCTGACAAACCATTGAAACTGTGCAATTTTTTCATGACCGTCACAAAGTAGTGTGTGCGTTCATTATTATAAACCATTGAATTTAATCCAGATTTAGAATATAATAGGCTTTATGGCAGTCTGTTCGTAAGTACGAGTTATCTGAATTTCTTAACCCAGGAACTGCCTGTACTGATATTGTAAGACCATGTTTTGACTTTTTCCAGCAATGCAGTTTTGTGCCTAGATTGTTGACATTGGTTAGGGGTTGAATCATACGAGCTCCTTTCTGAAGGTAGTGACTGTTTCCCTCCTTTTCTTATAGAACACCAAAAAGAGAAAGGAATCTATGAGATATTTTCCTTGCGATGTTTTGCAGACAGGGGAATACGCCACTGATGAGGATGAGGAGGCGGGCCGGGCCGTAACGGGCGGGGAGATGACCATCGAGGTGTTCGACTTGCCAGAAACCGAGGACATGTATTCGCCCTCAGAGGTGGACGCCACCAAGCTCTCGCAGAAGTTCCGTGAGGTAGGAATGACCCAGATGAGAGGGATACGCCAGTGGAGAGCTTTCAAGAGGCATCCGTACTGTCTGATGTGTATTCTCAGCTCTGTGAAATGACAATAAGCCTATTGCCTTATTTCTATTCGGAAAACTTTATATTTAAATGAATACTTCTTATCATCATTTCAGATTGGTCTCATTAATACATTTCAGCAACATTTTTGGCAATTTTTATTTATTAACTAAATGCATTCTCCCTCAAAATCCAGAGTCAATAAACGTTAGCATCAGATCCTCCACATTTCCATCGTTTTAATCGCAGTCCATTTTTCATGTCAGTAATATTACTGAAACCTGCAGGTCTGCCAGTTCTTGTCTGTGGGAGTATCCCCCCCCCATGAGAGAGACGGTGCGTGAGACACGGTGTGATTAATAACGTACCCCTGCACACAACCGCAGGGCGGCATCAACGCACGGAGCCAGCCCCTCACCGGGCTGATTCTGTCTCTTTGTGTGCGCAGCTGCAGATCAAGCACACTGTTACTGAGGTAGAGATACAGAAGCTGAAGAACAAGGTAAGCAGATCCTCTGTGGGGACCTTTCTGCAGGAACGGCAGCAGAACCGACCCAAGCTGTGCATTGCAGCCATACGCTAGTGGCCAACTCGCTAGATCACTAAACTGAGATACCAAGCAGTCAGTAAACACAGACCACCTCCCTTAATACAGAATGTGCTTTTAGGCTAAAGTTTTACCGTATGCAGGACTGTCACTGGAGTTTTCCAGTGATGCAGATCCATCCCTGTCTGTTTTTATGGAGAAGTGATGGACGGTTACCTTTCCATCAGATCTGTATAAAACGACAGAAGAAAACAATCAGTCATTATTAAGTATTTGTCACTCGATTTCTGTGAATTTATTTCTGTGCATATTGATCGATTTCATGTGATTATTACTAAAAATGCGTGTTCACTGGGTAGAGTCTGCCATCGGGACATTGGTCTGGCGCCCAGCGTCTCAGTCCTGTGTCTTGCTAAGCACTGATTTTTCCATACAACTGAATTATCATTTAATTAGGGTTTATTGAGCTATTGATAAAATTAACTGATTAATATTGTTACTGAAGGCTCATTTAATTTAATCATTTTAATTTAATGAATTTAATCCAATATTGGTGTGGTTAGGAATAATTACTATGATTAAAAAATGATGCATTTCAAAATATCTTTGGTTTTTCCATTTAAAATGAATGAAACGGTGTTCATTATTTATATGAATCAGTGATTATTTATTCATAACCCCACAGCAATAAACTAAAGAATTGATAAACATTAATACAATGTATTAGAATTACAGGCTAATCGGATTTGGTAAAGTTTCACTAATTATCAAATAATGGGAATGTTTTGTGTAATACAATTGAAAACTGCAGCAAGATGTTTCATGATATGAATTAAATTGTGTTATGGTTTAAATTAAAATCTTAATTGCATTAATTAATTAATCAGCAGGACAGAATATTGACATACAGAGCAGGCTGTCAGACCTGAGAAACGGTGGGCTGTCTTGCTTTTGACATGAGGGACGTTTTATTGGTGTTACCATGGTGTTATTAAGACTGACAGTGAGATGAGCCTATCAGCATTTGTCTTATGGTCGATGGCTAAGGAACCCCCCCTAGCTTTCAAAATGCTGCAAACAGCCTTGTGTTTATTTGTTTGTTTTTTTTTTAGGTAATGCTAACGATATTCTCTACCTGTCAGATCGTCGCCATATTTTAACTCGTGGGGGCGAATGCTATTCTGAGCCTGCGTTTACAACATTGCCCTGACGCTATGGCGCCATGTCAGTGCTGTCGTGCTCGAAACGATCTTAGCGGCTGATTCGTAACCAAGTGTGTGAGCTTCTGTTTCCGCGTCAGAGGTTCTGTTTTTGAACTCCACGACCCGCGTGTCTGTCCCGGGCACCAGCTTCAGGCCGTGGAGAAGGAGAAGCAGCGCTGGGAGAAGGAGAAGGCCCAGCTGAGGCAGAGCATAGAGGACAACAAAGAGAGGATGATGAAGCTGGAGGGCTACTGGATCGAGGCGCAGACACTCTGTCACACAGTCAACGAGCACCTGAAGGAGACCCAGAGCCAGTACCAGGCTCTGGAGAAGAAATACAACAAGGCCAAGAAGCTGATTAAAGATTTCCAGCAGAAGTGAGTTAGGCTCTGAAGAGTGACTCTTTTGGAAATCCGTAGATTGTCGCTTATGATTCAGCAGCTGTTCCAACAGGATGACTCCGATTTGTGTCTGAAAGCAAGCATTGTGATTAAATATTGGTTCCCTTCATTTTTTTATGGGGAAACCCCACCATAAAGCAATATATTTGGAATTTACAGATGATTTCTTGGTTCTTAGGACTTTCAGTTGGATTAATGGCTTTCCATCTAATTTGCATTAAGCATAAACCAACCATTAGAGCAATGTTTTTTAATCCAGTCCTTGGATACCCCCAGCCAGTCCATATTTTCGCTCCCTCGCATCTCCAAATGCATCTGTACCGGGTATTTGGTGTTCTTGATACATCTGGGATGGAAGAAAAATGTGGACAATCTGGGGGTCACCAAGGACCGGATTGAGAAGCACTGCAATAGAACCATTAGAGTAGAAGGGTTGGGCATTTTCGGTTCAGAAGCTACAAATCCAGACCAAGATTTTGTTTCTACCAAACAGGTGAATACTGTAACTCTTTATGCTCAACTGGTTTGTTGAACCAGAATCTTGGCCTGGATTTGTAGATTCTGGACCTGAGTTGCCCAACACTGTTGATTTATTAGAAAAATAAAAACCTAAAGCATAAAAATGTTGTGCACTTGTTAGCCTTCTCTCGATCTGTTAACTGGCCATCATTTTTGCCCAGTCTAGCGCTGGGGAGTCACTGGCTGGGTCTGTCACAGAGCTCCAGGCTGTCACCATTGCAGATATAACCAGTGAGGCAGCTCAGCCTAATGATTCCCCCCCCCCCCCCGCCCCACACCCACACTCCACAACCCTGAATTTTCCTGCTAGGGAGCTCGAATTCAGCCAGAAAGAGGAGGCTGAGAGGAAGAAGCTGGAGGACGCTGACAAGGCTCATTTGATAGAGATCCAAGGATTGCAACAGAGGGTAATTATACAATAATACAATTTCCTCCCATGGCACAGCACTTCATTTCAGCCACTGCTGTCAGCCTTCAGACGCATCCAAAGGCGACAAACAGAGCAAGAAACATCTTGTAGATAAAATCATCTATTTTGCTTTTACCCGTCATCGATCTGAAATAGTACAACACGCATTAATGCCACCTAAAATAAACTTTATTGCCTATAAAGCTATTTCATCAAGAAATCGGACTGATGTCAAGGATTTTAAGAATTAGTGAGCCTGTTGATGTTTAACAGCACCACGCAAACTGCTTCATGTATCATGTGCCCTGACTGCTTATTGCAGTTGTTGAGAACCATGTCTGCTCATTAGCGCTATTCTGGTTACTGTCGCGGGGAAGTACAGTGTATCATCAGGGCGGCCTGCCGCTTGAAGCTAAAATGCTGACGGACTTTTTTTTTTTTTTATCCCAATAATGGGCCGCAACACGCTTCTCAGCAATTTTACACAGAGGATCTTGGGTACGGTATGTCAGTCTGGGTTTGCTGGCTGCGTCTTAGATGTGAGATGCTGAGATTCGCTGTCCTTGAGAGCCCCATAATTTCTGACAGAAAGTTGTCTATCGGAGTCAGTTGGGTCAGTGTGTAAATACAGATTTATTAGCGGTCAGCATTTATAGTAGTTGATATTAGCTGTAGTGTTGCATTAGGAGCTTGATTTTATCTGGACATATTCATCTAAAAACGGTTTCTTCGTGACCTTTTCTGCGGAGGTCAGGCCATGGAGAAACAGTGCGAGTCTAGTCTTTGTCTTTGTTGACCTCAGTATGACCAGTGGCAAATGGCTTTCCTAGATCTCAGAGCTGGAAGCAGAACTGGGGCAACTGATAAAGCAAAATGGCACGCAGGTGAACAACAACAACAACAACAACAACAGCGTGAGGAGCAGGGCTGCGGAGCGGGGAACTGAGGGTCAACAGAGACCTTCACAGACTGGTGAGTCTCAGAAAGGCATCCAGCAGCGTCCATTCAACCTTCCCGTACAGATCTTCAGTCGGGCTACAAAAACAACGTTATTGAAGACTGTTGAGATTTATATTATATTATATTAAATTAGATTAGATTCCTTTGTTGCCATTGTACAGAGTACAACAAAATTTTGCAACAGTCCAAATGATGCATTCACACATGACAAGTAATTAAAAATGTAAAGTATATCTAGAGTGCAGTGTAAAAGAAACATTTTGGACACAAGCTATTGCACTGAGGTTGCTACCTGATATTGATATTGCCCAAAGATTATGGTATCGTATCACGTACAAGGTGCAGTAAATGCAATCACCAGTGCAAGTAAAACAGATAAGGTGCAGTTATGGGAACATTTACAGTGTTGTTTTAAAGTGACTGTAGTGACAAATTCTGCTGAACATAGGACATCACACAAGACACGACATAATAACACAATAAACCATGTATGGACATGAAGGACCATAGATAGTTGAGCTATAGCACTGAGGTTGCAATAAACCCACAGGTCATTGTCATTTTTATATACCGCCTACATATAGTTGAATTTAAACACAGATTATTGCCTATAGATTTTAGTATTGATTTGCATGAGGGTGGATGCAGGTTGTTGCACATTGTTCATTGTCTAGTGAACAAGAGGCTCAAGGCCTGGTCCTGCTACTGCTGGTTGATACTGTAGATGCTCCCCAGTGTTTCACCTTCTGCAGATACTTAGATCTGCTATCCCATCTTTCTGAGGTGAAATTCTGTATGTGGATTTTGCAAGCCAAAGGTGTGCATTTATAACTTAATGACTAGTTAATTCTGATGGAATGACATCATGCACCAAGCTGCTCATTAAGTCATGTGACATTGTTTCGATTTTCAAAAAATGCATAGCTGTGGCACAAGATCTCAAGCCTACGCAGGAGTTCAGCATTAATGTTAAAGATAAATGGACAAATGTCACATCTGTTTACCACAAAATTATGCTTTTTAATGTAATTTTTCTAAGCCTAACCTAATCTGTCTAACCTAAGCGAAATAATAGCTTGATAAAAAAAACAGACAGTTCTAAAGAAGATATGAATTGTTGTGACTGAATGGGGTGACTTAGTGACATTATCATCACTGAGACCTCTTCACCCCTGGAGAAATATCAAGAGATTCAACTTAGAGATCCGTCAACGGGGTCATAGATGAGCGCCGCAGAAATCGTAGGTACCATTATGTCAATAACCAGTTTACCTCAACATTCAGCAACCACTTATGCTTGGGGACACTTTTTTAAAGTGATCCAACAGCATATTCCAAAGCCTGGTTTAGTCAACGAAATCTTCTGAGTCCAGATGATGAGAATTATCTGGAAAACAGCTTGTCTCAGATGATTTTCCGTGAGAAGCTTGCCCTGCACACCTGGTGACCGTGGGCAGCCCTGTCTGTCAGCTCTCACCCAGGCGATTCCGGAGGCGCGGCGGACGGACGGCGAGGTCCCAAAGGCTCACGTCCAGCTTCCGGCAAAGACCTGCGGGCAGAGATTCCCCAGAGTCCCAGGGAGAGGCAGCGCCAGCTACACAGAGGGAGACGATGGCTGTGAGACGAAGGTGAGGCGTGTAACGTGCCAGAGGGCCTCATACACACACAGACACACACACATACACACACACACACACACACATATATTAGGTATCTATATGATTGTGGGGGATCTCCATTCATTTCCCTAGGTGTTACCTTAACCTTAATTATGACAACCTTAACCCATACCCAGCCCTAACCTTAACCAATAAGTAACCAAACAAAATACAAGACTTTTGGCATTTTTACTTTTTTGATTGCATTCACAGATTTTTATAAAATTGAGCTCCCCCTTGTGACATGTTTCCACAAGGTCACAATAACAGGTTTTTATCACATTACGGCAGGGGTCTCAAACCCCAGTCCTGGGGGGCCGGAGCCCCATGTAGCTTAGCTTTTTCCCTGTTCCACCACAAATGATTCAGCTCAAGAGCTGTGTTGTTATTAGCACAATGAGTTGAATCAGGTGTGTTAAATGAGGGTGAACCAAAAACTGTGTAGGGCTCCGGCCCCCCAGGACTGGAGTTTGACACCCCTGCATTATGGAGACATTTGCCCCCCCCAGTGTAATTCATACCTAAACACCCCCAGCAGATCTTCTGAAAATGGTGGGAGTGAGACTGAGTCTGAGAGAAACACAATAACAGTGACACTCACACGCACACACACACACACACACACACGCACGCACATATAGGGTAAATATATCCTTATGGGGACCGCTCATTCATTTCAATGGGAAAAATGCTAACGCTAACTATGACAACCTTAACCCCTACCCTGCCCTAACCATAACCATAAGTAACCGAACAAAATACTGTACAAGAGTTTTTGCATTTTTAGTTTTTTCATAGCAGTCACCCATTTTTATAAAATAGAGTTTTCCCTCCGGAAAAAAACGGATATTTATCACGTTATGGGGACATTGTGTCCCCATAAGGACAGGTATACCTGCTCGCACACACACACACACACACAAACACACACACACACACACAGTTAGTCCAAACGATACTTTGCTTAAATGCTTCAAAGGCTCCACTTCAACATAAAAAGTTAGTAGAAGAAACAACATGTTATTAACCAAGAATCCCAACATGTTATTAGCTGACAGTCCTGACATGCAGTTCTGAGTTATTTAGAGATTTTCTTGTCCTAAGTGCCAATCTGGAATAGAAATTTCCATAGATTCGCATAATGTGTTCTTCACAGTGAGTCACATGTTCCTCCGATCTGGCTACCTACAGCTATTTTTTGACGTTATTTTGTTGCGTAATGGTTATGTAACACAGTCATTTTCCTCTGCCCTGTGGCACACATTTGACCTCCAACAGTGTTATTACTACAGTCAGGTTTTATCTATTCAATACACACAATTAATTTGAGTCACTATTAATACACTTTTCACCTTTTGGAGCTTATACGTAACTTAATTTCTAAAATTTATGTTTAAATTGTGCCAACATATTATATACAGATTATATAAAGATTTATAAATATAGATACTGTTTTGTACAAGGTATAAATGACATTAACGTGTACCCAATGGCACAAAAATGTACAAAGTGCAAATAACATTAACATATACCCAATGGTACAAAAATGTTCCCCAGAGTCTATTTCTGTACCTTAAATTAGACTAAAAGATACATTTACCTACAACTGGTGTACTGACAATGTAGGATGGATGGATGGATAGATAGATGGATGGATGGAATATCCATGAAGCTTTATTCTCTTAGCAAATACCCATTTTCCGCAAACTTAATGCTCTGAATGTAGCATATAAATGAGAGCATTAGCCTAGGACAGATTGTGCGGATAAGCCTTCAGCACTAACACGTTCCTAGTTGTATGGAGACGCCCTCCGCTGAGGGCTTTCTCCCATGTCCCCCAAGCACGTCAGTCGCTATGAACTCACCTGCCAGATGAACTGTATCGTGAATCATGAATGCAGGGTGACGGCTGACTCTCTCCCCAGGCATCAGAAGGCTGCGGCGACAATACCTCCGGACCCAGGGCCCCGTCGGCAGCTTCAGCGCCGGATGCAGCCGGGGAGAGCCGGGAACAAGGTCATGAGACAACCGTCCTGATTAATGGGTTTTATTTAAATAATGAATTATCCCCAGTCGACGCAGCTCGATGAGCCGGAGAAACATTTTGTGCTTGACAGGAACTTACAGTGTAGTCACTTCTATTTTATTTAAATGCACTTTAAAAACCAAACAATTAAGGAGGTTTCACTGCTGCAGTCATATGACAGATAGATTACATTTGAATACAGTGTATCACACAACCTTTATTCCCTCCATACTCAAGGATTAATTTCAGTTGACGATGTACAGCCTGTGTTAGAGCTGCCTTTCAGAGTTGGGTTTTCTGTTGAATGTCTGTTTTTTAACAACTCAAGTGTCAGTAGTAGGCGCATTAAAATCCTGTCGTACTCTAGGGGCAGAACAAAGAAATTGATGGCTGGTGGTCATGAGCTGACTGGGAATGTGCCTGATCCTTTGCAGGCTGTCAGTCCTGGAAGGGTTCTAGCTCGTCGCTGGTCCAGGGGGAGAAAGCCAGCAGGAGAATCCCCGATATCAGGTAGGATGGAGCTTTATAGGGACCACGTGGATGTCGTTGATTGTACTGAAGTGGAAGAGGCTGACATTTTAGGTTCTTTTCTGTTCTGTTTATTTTTTTATATTTACCTGTTTTATGTCCAGATTTCCTGATTGTTTTGTTTACTCATCCACGAGGTGTTGAGAGTCCGCTATGAACAGCCAGTAATTTGCATGCACCCTCCATGAGGTATTTAGCCCGGCCAATTTAGGGTTTCCTTCTCTCCGGCTGGATCCTTAAACATATGTTCTGGCACTAAGGACCACAGCTGGTTCAGACTCAAAGCACAGTGGAGTCTTAATTGCTTCTCCTGTGTCTCACACCTTGAACAAACGTGCCCTCTGGAGCTGAGAAGTCATTGGCTGAATGGAAACCTCAAAAAAACAAGACATAGTTACAACTTTTTAATATTAATTAAATATTTCATATTTAATAAAATGGAGCGTGTGATTGGCCCATGATATTGGTCGGCTGGGAGATGGCTGGCTGGATGGACGCTGTTGTTTCGTTGTTGTGTACCGTACCACATGAACTATGAAGACTGATTTTTATAAGTATGCCGTTTGTGTGCCGTTGTTGCAGCTCTGCGTTCAGGGGAAGCAAAAGAAAGGAGCCCAAGCTCTCATCTGAAAACAGGTATGGGGATTAAAGGAGCCATGATTCTTAGTCAGTCTCTTGTACATTTAGAATTTAATTTCATTTATATTGGTTTGTATTTATGCCATGCATGTGACAGAACTTGGTGGCCTCTGCGGTAATTCCTTCATTACGGTGCAGCATAAAGTGCTTCTTTCTCTGGGGAGTTCTGGAATGTATATCTAGGCATCTATCTACAGCAACCAAGGGCATAACTTTGAGTTGAGCATTGGGGGGGGGGGTGTATTGACTGGTTTTAATTATGAGGAGGGGTTACAACCCTCTCATTCCCCCTCGTAATTTACACCTATGACTCCAACCCTCTTTGGAAAATACTGACCATCACTTTGACTCAGTGTTTTGATTCCTTTCCCTTCTGCCGTGGGCAGGACCTTCTTAAATGTGTGTGTATGTATGTATACACACGGTCGGCTGTTCTGCATCACAGCTTTTTGTTCTGCATCATTGGGGTTGTGATATATCGCATGGTCAGCATAAGACATTAAATCCAAATTCTTTGCAAGTTTTCGGTAGTTTTTTGCAAAAGCCACGGGCAACATGTGAAGGCCAGCAGATGACACACAAAAAGTGTAGTAACTCATAAATGCATAAAATATACGTACAGTGCTGGTCTGGAGGACGCCAAGCGTGTTTACGGCAGGCTCTCGCGTGAAATCTCACAGTGATCTTTGTATCTTTGTTCCTGCTATCCTTTCGCTTTACTCGGCAACGGGACCAAAACATTTTGCGCAGTTTTTCCAGATTTCAGGGGGCCTGCACCCCTAATCCTCACCATGTGGAAGGGTCAACCATATGTTTGTGTGTGTGTGTGTGTGTGTGAGCGGGTATACCTATCCTTATGGGGACACAATGTCCCCATACCGTGATGAATATCCATTTTTTTTCCCTTATGGGGACCGGTTTCCTGGTCCCCATAAGGGAAAACTCAATTTTATAAAAAATCAGTGACTGCTATGAAAAAACTAAAAATGCAAAAACTGCTTTGCTTGGTTACTTATGGTTATGGTTCAGGCTGGGTGGGGGTTAACGTTGTCATAGTTAGCATTAGCATTTTTCCCATAGAAGTGAATGAGCGGGCACCATAAGCAGTGGCGTGCACAGACATTTTGGGGGGCAAGTGCTCCAGGGGGAAAAAAGGGCACTTTTTGCATATGTGGAAAACCTTTTCTTTTTATAATAAAAAAAACGCACAGGTTAAATGCAATTTGACTTTTATTTCAAAACATTCTCTAAAAA